TTGTCGACCCTTTGTTGTCAAGTGTGCTGACACGGATCTTATATGAACCGTCAAGTTTGTCTGCCGTATGATTAGCTCCCAACTTCAAGAGAATGTTTTGTTTTTTTGCATCAAACTCTTGACTTCAGCCTTCGCTCCCCACTTTTCAACCTCCTGCGATATATCTATAGACATAAAAAATGGCTCTATGTTCTCTACGGAATCATACATCTCTGATTCATCAAGAGTTGACTTTGAGATATCACCATGTAAAAATAACAAGCATAGTACTCTTAGATCATGTCCAAACTGTAGTGCTCTCATGTTGCGTAGTCTGTCCTCGTTTGAGATTGTTCAAGTGTACTTTGCACAGGCTGCTGCATACTTATAGAAAATGAAAAGGCACTTTACCACCACTATCACTATGATAAGCATTAACTAATGAAGTACAATAAGACGAATAGCAAAATTATTAACCACGCATAGGAACTATAAACACGCACATACACACCACAATCTATTCCACGCAAGAATGATGATCGAGCACTCATCAGTGTTTCTCCTTTAGTAATAGGAGGTGCATACTTGGGCTCTTCAGGCTCTACAAACTGGCTGACAAACTGCCCAATCCCTGAAGGTTTCAACCATAAGATCAAGAATAAAGGACAGTTATAATCTTTTAAAGAACAGCAAACACCAAGTGGGGTTCAAAAAGTTTTAAAAGGTTTGCAAGTAAACCTGTGAGATGGCTCTGCCCAATCTGCAACCGGTTAAATATCTTAGATTGATCAATATCGAAGTTAAATCACATTGAAATCACAGACTAGATTTGAAAGCTTTGATCTGCAATATGTCACAAAGTCTTAACATAAAAAAGAAAAAAAGTTTCTAACCAAGAACTATCAATTCTCCAACATTGAAAACTGTGCTCAAGCTATATACGGTATGTCTCGGTTAATCACAATAGCATCCGTACTATACATAAAGGGCTCTTTCACCTTGAAAAATCCTTCACGTATTACCTATAGTCAACATCATAACATACGAAGAAACATAAAAGTGATATGATACTATCATGACAAAGGAGAGAAGTCTCACCTGCTCTACTAGTAAGGTTATATTAGATTTGGCGGAAAGAGCCAAGATCTTGAATCTCTCTTGGTTTTCAGCTACGATGTCGAGCTTTAGGTGGAATGTCTATTACATTCCACCTAAAGTTTATGGGTTGAGTCGGGCAAACTTCTAAAGTAATTGTTGGAAGCCTGTTGAGGAGAAATTATGGGTGAGAATTGGGAAAAAAGAAACAGCTTATAATATCTCATGCAAGGATTTTAGAAGAAGAATGTCATAACAATCTCATGTTTTCAAAGACAAACTACAGACAATATATATTTCTGCACGATAGTTATTAAGAATTTCACTTGCCATGAAATTTTCAAGTCATTCATGCAGAAGTGGTTCAATGCTAGACATCAAACGATGTTCGATACCAACGGAGAGAGACAGTATCTTGAGGCGCGCGAATCATGCCTAATGTCTCATCGGAAGATGTGTAATCCTTATCAAGCACCCTGACCCTCTAGACACCCTGCTATACGGAACAAACAAGAAGTGTATAACAAGAACTGTATAACAAATAAACTGTAAACAAACAAGAAATGTATAACAAGAACGAAGCCGCTGGTAAGCATTCAGTTTGCTTGACGTGTTGACATAACAAATAATCACAACAAAAGGTGGTATACAAAAGATATTTCCTTTAGAACATACGACAGCAGAAAGTTCACAGGAGTGAAAAGAATGAGGTGTTTGAGGTGCTAAACAATGCGAAGGATCTCCACCACCACTTAAAAAACGTGCCAAGCTTTCAAGTAAAAAGTAATTGAGAGCCGGCACTGAAGCCGGCTCTCAATCACAGTCTCCTATGCTAGGATTAAGAGTTTGCAAAAGTGTAAAAGGTATAATTTATGGATCAGAAAATCCGTTAATATCATATGCGCGCAACTTTGTCAGCATAGCGAGCTTTTGTAGACAAAGATAAAAAATATATTCACATTCTAGAATCATATTCACATTCAAGAATAACACAACGTCCGCACAAAAAATAATAATAATTAGAAGTTCACGTCTGATTGAACTGGTGTCATTAGCAGAGAAATAACAGTCAGAAAACATGGTGCTTTATTGTGATTTTGGAGTAATGTGGGAGGAATCAATCCAAGAAGTTCAGCTGCCGAAAAACTTTGAAGAAACTGTGAAGTCTCTTCAGGAGAATAACAAAAGACCTGAACTAAAGTAGATTGACTCTAGTCGAAGAGTTGCTGACAATTAACCAATTAGTATAATGTTCTCAGGTTACGCCTATAACGTTGGGTATTTCTTGTTTCCAGGAAATTCTCAACTCACAAATTCTCAATTATCCAGGGATTTGCAAAATCAACACTGTCGGCTGAATAGTAATTTTTCGAAAGATTGCCAATTCATCAGGGTGCTTAAGTTCAATAATTAGAACAGTGTAAGCAGCCTTTTCTATGCAAGTCATGTCACAGTGCACCACTTTAGTACATGGAGAAGGAGAAGTATAGTATCTCAGTTACAAGCAATTGAAATTCACAAGACAGAAGATTTGGAAAAAAGAAGAGGTTCCCATCAACAAGGCAAACATATGTGACAAGAGAACTAGAAAGTTGCTACTAGCAGTCGTCTACAAAGTACTCATCTTCATTGATATTAAGCTGAACTTGATAAAAATGAATGATTTGTTATTTTTATGTAATGATAAGCTAGACGTGATCAAGGTATATAAAACAACATATACAGCACACATTGAGAAGTTCAATAACGTCTTATTGGACATTTTAAAGCTCCAAACCGTCATTTTTCCAAGTATCTTGCAGATATTGCAAATTGAAGGTACAATATACATAATCTTGAAGCCTGATGATTAAAAAATCAGAATGAACAAGTAGAATATTACCTTATACTTCTGCGTGCCATGCGTTCCATCTATAGCAACACAACCTCCATTTCTATGTTTTAGCAATCATTCTAGGAGCAAGGGTCTTGTAACAGCAAGCCTCAATGCTTTAAATGGATCATTTTTTGGTGCCTAATACAGAACAACTTGAGATGAATTCGCTTTCTTCCATAATTCCATGCTAATTCTATCATTAACATGCCTTCTCCAAGTTTTTTTGTCGAGTTCCAATTGATATTATACACATCAGCAGATGTGATATAATGATCTCTAATTGGGATCCCTTGCACATAGCCTAAGCTCTACTGATTTTCAAACAATGCTTTTGTAGCACGCATGAGAATTTGTGGAGGAGTTAAAACTTGCATTTTTACTCGCATTCAACCCACTGCCTAGCGAAATACCGTAAAAAATATTAGACAACATGGTTGCTTAGCGTCAAAGTTTTACAAATTATAATAACAACAAACTTATTGTACATATTACAAATATGACAGACGATTACATGTGAACGATAAACAAATACATTGAAAATATTACAAATATGCCGTTACCTGCACTCGGAGGATAAATTGTGCGCTATCTGGGATGGCAAGCCAACACTATCCGGACACAAGTGCCATGACAAGCTACACCTACAGCATTTACATGTCTTCTATGCTTGTATAACAACTTTGTGGTCCCTGGTGGAATGTGATCATTAGGCAACAATTTAATGGCATTAAATCTGCATTGACAGCCCTTGTGGTGAGATCATGATCTAATCTGCCCCTGCTGCCTAGAATTTTGCTTTTGTTGATGGATGTTGAATAAAATTTGAGCTAAGCATACTCTTTTTGCCCCTTTCTCGAGTACCATATTTGCAATAGTATATTGCATACGATTCCCAACGGTGCCTAGCCCCTCCACCCTTGTATGAGCAACGTGTCACAAATTCCATCTTTGTATCACTATAACAAGATGCCTTTCCCGAAACAAAATTGTTAAGCCTCGAGCCTTTGATGTAGGCCGTCCCATTCGACCAATTCAAGATTAATGAATTGAAAGAGCCATCCCACGGTGGATCTGTACAATCCATCTTGCCTCCATGCTGTCACCACACCTGCAAAAAGCACATGAAATGACAAGAAAAGTACAAGCACGAGCTCTGGCACGAGCTCCTCACAACATTGGCACTAGCACCCAAAAGCGACGTCAAAACATCGACGAGCTAGAGGATATCGATATGACCCTATTTTTAAAAACCCTAAACTTTGCCGCCTAAAATTTTGTCGCCACAATATGTTATCACTGTTTAGATTACATATATTACAGTTTGAATTTATTAGGGATTCCAACTGAGCTATAACTCTTGGAGTTTAGTTTTAGTTTAACTGAAACAACGACCTCTACAGTCCTCTACATCGTTGTCGGAAGGTCGGATCCGCAATGTTCTACATGGTTGTCGGAAAGTTGGGTACGCCGACCCTCAAGTCTCCAAAATTGAGATAAAATCCGGCTGACTTGAGGCTGCCCGAATGGAGCATGAAGCAAGAAAGAAAGTGGTATCTCTTACGCCTGGCATTACATCAATTTGTATAAGTTTGTGCAACTAAGCCAGTCGGAAGGAAAAGGGAGCCATGGTCGACTGCAGCATCCGGAGTTGAGCTTGACTTCATGGGCCTTATGTTTGCGGACTACTTCCCAGGCACAGAAAGCAGTGCCACGTCGAAAAGTTCATTCGTGGATTAACGAGCTCCTTGTCTTCGGCTGGTCTCAATTTCCGTCTCTCGACGTTGCGCTACAGGCTTCGACCGGTGGGGTCCGATCAGTCCCATGCTTTTTGCCATATTCCTCGTTGCCCCAAAATCCATTGGTCCAGGCTTCAGACCTTCCGACATTTCCTTTCTATCCTGAACGCGCTTGGCAAGCCCAAAGTCCAACACTGACGTGAGGCCATGACGTGACACGGACCGATGTGTTTCCGAGTGCGACAGAAACCCTCAGCCGCACTCCCAAGTTCTCAAGGAGCCGCTTAAAAAACTCTTTAAATCGAGGAGATGCTGAAAATTCCGGAAGTTGCTGACACGTTTCCATGCGCTGGGCGCTCCTGTGGTCGCGGAAGCGGGACGAAACAGGATTCAAAGATGAGGGAGTCAACACTGGCAGCCGATTCTGTTGCGCGAAGCGCGAAGGAAGTCAATCCCCGCGAGATCTTTGCTCACGACGCGGAGCTTCGTACCGGCGAACGTGTATATTGCCTTTCGGGCCAAGTCGCTCGGGAAAAGCCACAGCTGTGACTGGATGTTCCAGAGTCCACACTCGAATGCCTGAACCCGGTTCTGTACGAGAGGCTGGGTGCGGACATGAGCGTATCTGCTGCCAAGATGCTGCCGAGAGGCCCATTTGTTTATCGGTCTTTATGGCCTCGCCTGTTTTGGGCCACTGTTTCCAACTCCTATCTCTTCTTCGGCCAGTCATGGTAAGCCTCGGATTTGCCGGTGGCAGAAGCGTATGCTGCAAGACGGGAATTCTTGTCTCTGGGACGAGCGATTGCGCCGCGTTCTCAATGGAGTTTTTACTCACATCGATGTGGGACTTGCGGTGCCTAGAAGAGCCGATTGACTGATGAGATCAGCGGTTTGTTCTCCAACAGTCGCTGTTTTGAATTTGATCCTTCAAAAGGTTGCATACGATTGTCGACCTTGTTTCGTTTGGATTGTAGAATGCCTAGGGTTTTATGTTTGTGGCTTGGCGTCAATCGATCTTTAGTCTTGCTGTGGGTGAGGAATGCTATGTCCTTCTCGCATCGGATGGCCTCAGTGGCTGGGCTGAGAGCAGGTCAAGGGTTATAACGTCGATTGATAGGGGTCGATTGATAGGCACAACATTTGCTGCTCAGGCTGCTGGCTCTCCGTGGGCTGATTCGTTGACCGGGAAGCTGAAGGAGCTCGCCTGCAATGGATTACCCTTTCCCCTCACCTCCCTCTAGTGTCCACTCTTATGGAAGGAGGAGAACGATCAGAAAGGTTCCCAAAGTTCTGGGGAAGGTTTTGGTGAAGGGGGTCTCGAAGCTGGCCAGGCATTTCAGCGGTGACCACGAAGCTCTGGAGAAGGGGGCGATGGTAATGGCCGCTCTGGCGGAAGCACAGAAGGACGGGGCAATTCTGGAGTCGTTCCCTCCCATTCTAGCGACGTTAGTGGAGCCGCTGCTCCAGGATGAGAACCAGAGGATACAAGAGCAATGTGCCAAGGCCATTGCCATAGTGGCAGCCCAAGTGGATCCAGAGATTTGTGAGCTGATGTTGGAGTTCCCCAGATTGCTGGAAGGGCTGGTGGGCTTGTTGTTCAGAGCGGAGAGATACCACGTGCAAGAAGGCGCGGCATTTGCTCTGATGAACATCGCCGGAGGGGGAGGTTCGCTATGTCAGAGAACGATCTGTCTGCACCCCAGGGCTCTCGAGGGGATCGTGGGTCTTTTGTCTCAAGAGCGCAGTACATTAGTTCTTCTTTACGGAGCCTCGATGATTTATCTCCTAGGAATTCATCCGGATAATCCAAAGATCATCATGGAGTACCCCGGAGCTCTGGAAGGAGTAGTTCGTGTGCTTCTGAAGACCGAAGTTCCCGTCGCTCAAGCGAGAGCAGCGCTTGCACTTTCGGTTCTTGCATTGGGATCGGACACGAAGAACACCATCGCTGACTTCCCAGAAGCTCTGCCAGGGATCTTGCAGCTGCTGACACTGGAAGAGTTTCCGGAAGTCCAGGAGTGTGCTGTGACGGCTCTTGCCAGCATCATCACCGCAGAATCAACTCCGAGGATCCTCGAGTTTCCCAACCTCCCGACCCGGCTACAACTTCTAGCCCAGAGTTATGAATTGGCAATCGTTGCAATCGTCGATCTTGATTACTACAACAAGAAAGAATCTGCCAAACAGAATGCTGAGCACTCTTTGGTTCAAAGCAGGAGAGTACCAGAACTCCGACTGCTCAACTTCCCGACCAGCAATTGAGGCCTCATGAACTTTGAGTATCGGAAGTCCCAAAACTTCACCTTGGCGCATGCGGCTTGCCCACATTTACAGAGACTTCGATAAGTGCAGAAGCTGCGGGGTGATGGCTGAGTTCAAGTCACACGAGTTCATAGCTTGTCGGAGACAATCGACAGGGTTGGTCGAGGTTATCTGTCCTATGAAATTCCTTGTCGTCCTGAAGCTTAAGTCAACCTGCTTCAATCGGGAACATCATACACATCAAATCCAGATTTGTTGCGTCGACGAACCTGCACCGGGTTTCTTGACGGTTCAGTTGTCCGGGCTTGACTGTGTAACCTTGGACTGCCTTGTTGCATCGAGATTTCGAGAGACCTGTAACATCAATAGGAACTGTAATCTGCTCCCCTGCAGACATAAACAAATCTCTTGTTTATGGTCCCCGAGCTTCACCACTTTGAAATTATGAAGGTAGAATGTACATTCATCGCTTCACAAAATACGAACTATTTGAAGACCAAATGTGCAGAACGTGAACTTTCCTATTGTCACTAGGCTAGTCCGTGTTGAAGATGATCAGATAAGACACTAGAGCCAAAAAACCGAAGAGAGTATATTTCATGCTCACTTGCATACTCGATCTGCGTATAGAAACAGAAGATTCTCCAATTTACCTAGAAAACATGTTGAACTATATGGAACACACTCACTTCCGCTAGTTGAAAGTGCAATGTAATTAATCCGTGAAGCTAACGCCCAGAGTACACACTCTATTTTTACATCATTTGTCGTACATTTGTACTAGTAAAAATGAAGACCTAGTCAGATGTTTATTCATCGTCTAAATAGCTAGATATTATTAAGCTCTAGATTTATTTTCGATCTTCGAAATTATCGAAAAATTGCAAAGAAAATTTGCGCTTTGCAATGCTAATTACAATAGCTCAGAAGATACACATTTTGGGGTATCTATTAACCTATTGAGATCCGATGTAGAGTTCGAGGAATTTCAGAAGATATAGTATTCTGAAATTTTGGGTTGGAAGTAGCTCCGGAATGCTATGTTAGTAATTGGTTTCAAAAGTGTCCACATAATTTGTACATGGAAAAATTGTTATTATGAAGAATATTGTGATAAAAAAATGAAACAAATGATGTATTTTTTGGCAATTTTGGTGTATTTGACCAAGATACAAGATCCAAAATCGTCTCTTGTATTGCTTTTGAGTACGCAATACAAGAGACGTTTTTGGGAATACACTTTGTGTAAAATTTTGATAGTAAAGATTACTTTGGGATCCATGATTCAAATTTTTAACTCTCTATACTCTAGGGTTAATAAATTTTTACTCGAAATTGATTTTGACAAACAATTTTCTCAATCCAATGAATTAGCTTGTGGACTATGCGTGGATGGTCTTAAATTTCAATTATGAGAACTTTGACAATTTTTGAAACTAAGTGTTGAACACTATGAACACTTTTTGCGCATGAATAGTTTAGAGCAAGGATTAGAAATTGTTCTAATTGTTGAGTATAGTTCCAAGACATGAAATTGAATGTTCATGTCTTGGAACTAATGTTCATAGTTCCAAGACAATTCTTGAGTACATTCATTTTGATGTGTGGGATCTTTTTCTTGTTACTTCACATTCTTGGGAAGAAGTACTATGTTACGTTTATTGATGACCTCTCAAGGTGGTTCTACTTTCTTCCACGCAAATTTGTTGTCTTTGTCACTTTTAAAAAGTGGAAAGTCCAAGTTGGGACTCAGAAAGGAGAGAAGTTGAAATTTTTACAATCGGATAACAACAAGGAGTACGTGTTCCAAAAGTTTGATGCGTTCTGCAAAAACAAGACGGTAACCCGCCACTTCACCAATGTTTACATTCCACAGCAAAATGGCTTGTCAGAGAGGCTCAATCAAATAATGTTGGATAGATAATTGAGTAAGTTGAGCCATGCTGGTTTAACACTGATTTTTTTTGGCTAAAGCCATCAATACTGTGGTTTATTTGGTGAATCTGTCTCTTTGTATTGCCATAAATTACAAGACTCCATTTGAAATGTGGCATAAACAAAATGCTAATTACTCTTATATTAGAGTGTTTGGATATCATGCTTATGCACATGTTTCCAGTACTAAGCTCAATCCCAAAGCTATCACGTGTATTTTTTATATCAGCGTGATGTCAAAGTATACCGGTTTCGAAATCCTGTAGGTTGTAAACTTGTAAGTAAACATGTTTCTTTCAATGATTTCAGATCATCGAAAGAGTGAGAGATTGTTGATCTTGCTACTAACGAAGGCTAGTTATCTTCCCCAAACATCATTGAGGGGGAGATTTTTCATGAAGTTTTTCATGATGGACCGCAAGAAGGTGGTCCACAAATAACGGACGAGGCAGAAGAGCAAGATTTTGCTTTTGAAGAGATCCATGAAGAGCAACACATTGCTAGTGAGCCACCATCTGAACCAGCACACAACGATCAAACAAAGTTTTCAATTGCAAGACCCATACGTGTTTGTCGTGCGCTCGAAAGGTATGGTACTTGGTTTCCTATTTAACAGGCTGTTAGGGACGAGTATCTACTTGTTGATGACTTAGGAGAACCATTGATCACGGAGGATGGAAGTACGTCCTCTTATCTGAATCTCAATCAGTCTCGAAGAAACTTGATAGGGAAGCAACAATGCGAAAGGAAATGAAATCACTTCATGATAATCAGACTTGGGAACTCGTGAAGTTGCCAAATGAGAAATGAGCTATAGATTACAAGTGTATCTTCACGGTGAAGGATGAATCTACACATGCAGTTGAGAAAATCTTAAGACAAGATTGGTGGCCAAGGACTTTGAACAATGAAAGTGCATAGATTACACTAGGACTTTCTCACCAGTTGCTAAGTTTTCAACTATATGCTTGTTGTGTGCACTTGTCACATTATTTGGTCTATTCCTCGACCGAATGAATGTTGTCATAGTCTTTTTGGATGGATCGTTGGACAAAGTGATTTACATGAGATAACAGGATGGTTTTTTGAAGAGAAAAAATGAACGTTTGGTTTTTCAATTGCTTAAATCCTTGCATGAATTTAAGCAAAGTCCCAGACAATGGAACAACCATTTTGATGAATTCAAGCATACGCATGGCTTCATACAAAGTGCATATAATCATTGTGTGTACTTGAAGCGTGTTAGCAACACAAGTTTTGGCTTCATATTACTCATGCTGTATGTAGATGACATGCTTATTGTCGCTAAGAATAGGTATGAGATTATTAAACTCAAAGTCTAGCTCTGTTTTGTGTTTAATATGAAAGATATAGGTCTTACTAAGCGTATTCTAAGCATGGAGATTCACAGGGACGAGTCATCAAGCAAACTTTGATTGACACAGACGTTGTATGTAGAGAAAGTACTTGCTAGATTTAGCATGTCAAATGCTAAAGCTGTAAGTACTCCATTAGCTGCACACTTTAAAGTTTTGACAACTTTATGTTCAACTGATGCAACTGCAAAAGAATTGATGTCTTATATTCCTTATGAAAATGTAATTGGCAGCATTATGAATCTAATTGTACGCACTAAACCTGATGTAGCATATGCAATTGGGAAGATGAGTATGTACATGTCAAATCTTGTACAAGAACATTGGAAGACTGTGAAGTGGATAATGAGGTATATTAAGGGTTGTCTTGATATTGGATTATTGTTTGATGCACGATCAAACAATGCAAGTTCGCTCTTGAGGTATGTTGATGCTGATTATGAAGGAGATCTGCTAAGTGACAATAAAAATCTAGTTATGTTTTCACACTTGCTGATGAATGCATAAGTTGGAGATCTACACTTCAAAAATGCATTTGCTCAATACGTTGCAATAGCAAAAGCAACAAATGAGACAATTTGGTTAAACAATTTGGCCATTGAGATGGAGCTGCAACATAGTGATGTGAATCTTTACTGTGACAGCCAGACAACACTTCATTTAGCATCAAACAATGTGATGGATGGTAGGGTAAAGCACATTGATATCCGATATCATTATATCATACAAGCAATGTTTTATAATGCACTAAAGCTCATTCAAATTGATAGTAAACTCAATCTTGCCGACGCATTGATCAAAGTGATTTCAATAGAAAGTTTTTTCAAGCATTTTGCAAAGTTGCAAACTTTGCATAGGAATGTTTAGTCTAGTAATTTTTCTACATGTATTTTCCATCCGGTTTTTGCCAACTACAGCTTAGTTCCAGTTAACTATCGACTATAGAGAAAAAGCCTGATTTAGCTTTACTTTCTAGAACTTCCCGAAAAGATACATGTGGATTACATTAGTTACCTCTCCAAGATTTGTGACAAACATGAGTTTGTTAGATTAACTTTATCTTGGATTAACTCAAGTTAGTGATAACCATGATTAGGGAAGTAAAACGTGGTTAGATTAGCTAAGATGTACACCTTATCTCTTCTTGTATAGGCAAGAGAAGTAACTATTCAATCCGTACAGTTCAAGATTGCACATAGAGAGTGAACATGAAGGAGGAGAGTTTGGCTATGAAGGCAATGTATACACCTATGCTTTAGTGAAGTTTCTACTCTTGCCTATAGACGTAACCTATGAAAGGTGAACCACGTTATTTCGGTGTTGTGATTGTCGTGCGTGCTAATCGATCTTGATGGTTGGGACTTTCACACGAATTGTTCACGCATCATGAATAACTAACACATTTAATCTTGATCTACTAAGCGAATGTATTTTTGATTTGTCATGATTAAGTAATACGATTAATCTTGACTTACCAAGCACACATACTTTTGACATGTCGCTGTTGATCAAATACACTTAAACTTGATCTACCAAGAAAATAGATTGTTAACGAGTCATTATTAACTAACACACTAACTTTGTTCTATCAAACACATAGATTATTAATGTGTCACTATTAACTAACACACCAACTTTGTTCTATCAAACACATAAATTATTAATGTGTCACTATTAACTAACACACTAACTTTATGAAAATATGAAAATATTTAATCTTTATTTATCAAACACATGGATTGCTGATGCATCATTTTTAACTATCACATTTATTCTTTCTTACGAAACATATGGATGGTTGAAATTTTTTTATTAACAAACATAATTCATCTTTATCCATTAACTAGATGAATTGTTGACATGACGATTGTAGGTGATCACTATAATGAAACCCTATTTTCTTCTTAAATGATATCTATTTTAATTCTATTCAATAAAAAATTATTAAACCTCTCCGATTCAATTGCAAAGCAATCTAATTCCCACTCTTTTATATAAGAAAAAATTTGTGACGTAAAAAATAATAAAGTTCTATGAAATGGAAATTTTTTATATTAATGAAAATTGAATCAGATGCGACTCACATCCACTTTTTAGTGACAAAAGTATTATATATAGATGAAAAAAAATAAAACTCCATACTCTTAAACAATAAATTGTGCAAATCAAACATTTTAATTCATGATTGAATCAAGATCAATATTATTGGTATTGTTGGATCTTTTCAATATTAGCATCGCAAGCATAATTAAAATGAAAAGACCAGCATATATGCCTTCATGTTAATGTGCTCCTTACAAGATCAAAATGTTTCTATAATGGATCATGGCAAGCATATTTAGCTTCAATAAGTCTTATGCTCAGATTCAGTCGATGGAAGATAGAATAATTTTTCTTTTGTATGAAAATTCATTTTTTTACAATAAATATATGTTGAATAATTG